CTTCTTCTTCTTCTTCTTCTTCTTTTTCTGAGACAAGGTCTCACTATGCATTTCAGGCTGGATCTGAACTCACTATGCAGCCCTGGTTGGTTTGAAACTCACAGCAAGCCTTAGACTCCCAAGTGCTGGGATTTGCTGGGATTATAGGTGTGCAGCACCACACCTGGCCAATCTTTCAATTTTCAGTTTTCCTGTTTTACTTTTTCTTTCCAGTGCAGAGTATTAAACCCAGGGTTTTTGCATGCTATCCCAGTGTCCCAGCACTGAGTTACACACACAGCTTTCATATGCTTTTTATGTATATGAACATAGCTTTCATGATGTTCTGGAAGCACGAAAAAGAGAAAGACTTTCTATCAAAAAAAACAAAAACAAAAAAAAAGCCTATGCATATGTAAACATCATCTTCCACATGGTACCAGCTCAGAGGGACCTCCTCTTCCAAGTGCCTCTTGAAGAGCAAGGCATCATCACAGAGGACATCATTCACAGAGCTCACCAGGAAGGTCTCAGGAAAAGGATCTCATCCTCTACTAGGAGGGGTCCGTGCATGACCTGTAGATATGTTTAATTTCCAGATAGGCAGCTTCATTAAAAGGCCCAAGAAACTGGGGCTCCTGGTATTTTTCCTTGAGTTTCTCTGAAATATTGTCACAGCTGAACCATTTCCTGCACTTCTTCCAGGTGTCCTTTCACCAGGCACCTCACCAGGAAATAGCCATATATTTACACAAAAATGTCATCATGTTGTCTCAGGTGGGGAATGGGACATTTTTGTTTTGTGGAAAGAATGATAACTGAAAATTCATGCCCTGGAAAACTGCATAAATTAAGACCCGAGCCTGGATCTAAAGAAGATTTCCTTGTCCAGCAAAGCCTGGATAGTCAAAGTGAAACCCCCTCCTACAATGCTACCCCCCACAGGTCATCACCCAGGCGGGGACCACACCATAATCTCTTGGGCCCCTCAGGAAGTGAATGATGCCATTTAGGCACTCTTGGAGTGTGAAAAAGTAATGTTGGTCAGAAAGCTTGAGGTACTGAAGGATGAAACAAAAAACAAAGCACAGGTGTGCACAGGTATCCATGCTAGTGTTTAAACAGTATTCTCTAGGTCTTTTAGGAGAAAAACCTGATCACATCTTTAGACTGATGTGGAAATGGTGAGTATCTCCATTCTTATCCTGTGTGATTGTGAAGTACCTGTCTGGAATCAAAATGGCTAGGATTCCTGATTCCCAGCCCCAGCTATTTCTCTCAGTTGCACAAAAACCCATACAAGACTGTGTAAGTTGAGAGCTACTGGCTTTGAAAGGGAGAAGAACGAGTAAGGACAAAAAAAAAAGGCAAGTGAATCTACTGCTGGTCCCACTGCGCATCGGGGGATAAGGGTTAATTTAAAGTAAATGTCAAAGATGGAGTTGCTTGTGTGTGTGTGTGTGTGTGTGTGTGTGTGTGTGAGAGAGAGAGAGAGAGAGAGAGAGAGAGAGAGAGAGAGAGAGAGAGACTACTTTTAAAACTAATCCTCAAATAGTGATTTCCCTGCTCCAAAAAACTATTCATACTTTTTTCAGAATGCAGGTGCCTAACACCAGAACCTAGTTTAAAATGACCTTGTGGACCTGGTGGAGCAAAAGATTGCAAATGAAAAGAATCTGAGGAAAGAGAACAGGGCCTCCATGATCCAGATTAGAAAGGAAGGTATCCTCTAGAGTTTCAGGATGGATCAGAATTGTGCAGAGTTTGATTTTTTTTTACATGAGCTGTCTATCTATCCCTATGTCTTCAAGAGTTCTATCTATTTTCTTTTCTGGTAGATTTAGTGTTTCTGTTTTAATATTTAGATCTTTGATCCACTTTGACTTTTGTTTAGTGTGTAATGATAAACATGGGTCTAGTTTTAGTTTTTGGTATGTGCAAAGCCAGCTTTTCCAGCACCATATACTAAAGAGGTTATTTTTCTTCCAGTGAACATGTTTGGCCCTTTTCTGAAAGATAAGGTGGTTGAGTGTGTTTGTAGTTGTATCTGCGTGTTTTAATCTGTTCCATTTATCCTCAGGTCTGTTTTACAAATACTATGCTGATTTTATCACAGTGACTTTGTAGTATAATTTCAAGTAAGGGATTGTGATGCCTCCTGCCTTACCAATCTTCTGCAGGATTGCTTTCACTATTCTAGATTGCTTCTGGTTCCAGATGAATTTTAGGAATGTTTTCTCTAGATCTGTGAAATATACTAATGGTATTTTGATTGGGATTGTGTTGAATCTATATAGCAGTTTGGAAGTATGCCCATTTCCACAATGTCGGTTCTTCCTATCCATGAGCAAGAAATATTTTTCCATTTTCTGAAATCCTCTTTGATCTTTTTCAGAGTACTGTAATTTTCACTGTATAGAACATTTGGTTCCTTTGTTAGATTGATTCCTAAGTATTTATATTTTTGATGTTATTGTCTAGGGTGTGGTTTTCCTAATTTCTTTCCCAGTGAGTTTTTTGTTTGTATACAGGAATGCTATTAATTTTTGAGTGTTGACTTTGAATCCAGGTAGGCTACTGAACTTGCTTATTAAATCTAGAAGTCTTTTGATGGAGTTTCTGGGGTCTTCTAGGTAGAGTATCATGTCATCTGTGAATAATGATAATTTCACTTCTTCTTTTCCTGCATGCTTCGTATCCTTATTCCTTTTATTTCTCTCTCTTTTTTAAGTGACCTGGCTAATGTTTCCAGAACTACAGTGAATAGGAGTGGTGACAATGGACATCCTTGTCTTCTTCCTGATGTTAGAGTGAAAGGTTTCAGTTTTTGTCCACTTAGTATGATGTTGGCTATCAGTTTTCCACAGATGCCTTTTATCAGATCAAGGTAAAGACCATCTAATCTGATTTGCAATAGGGTTTCTATCATGAATGGTAGACTTTATCAAAAGCTTTTTCTTTATCTATTGAGATGATCATGAGATTTTTGTCTTTGGCTCTGTTCATATGGTATATTACATTTTGTGATTTGTATGTATTGAACCATCCCTGCAGTCGTGGGATGATTCCCACTTGGTCATTGTTGTAGTTTGGTGTTTTCAAAGGGAGCAATATAATACAGAATACATATTTTATAAGATTATTTATAATTGTCACCCAAAGGATCATATACAAAGAGAGTGCCAGAAAAGTGCCCACACACTAAAGACCAAAGAATACAGCTGAGGGCTGGATCTCACAGTAATGTCTACATGAGTCAGCTGGAGAACTGGAGCCCATAACAATGCCTTCCACAAAGTCCAACAGGAGGTCAAGAGACCATGACAATGTCTCATGCACGCCTGTTTTACAGATCTGCACTGGAAAGGCCCAAATATCAGTGGGGGAAGCTAGAAAGCATGTGCCAGCAGGATGAAAGATGTGTTCTAGCAGCTGAGCAATTTGAACTGG